GGGAACCACCGACGTACCCGCAGTGGGGCAGCGACGTGGAGCACAGGGACCCGACCCAGAAGGCACAGCGTCCCGGAGTGGGGTCTGAGTGTGCGGTGCAACACTTACCTGGCTCCACGGTTGGGCAGGGGGCGCGTGAGAAGGCATATCGTCCTCGAACCGGGCCCTGCTGCCCGCTGGCGAAAGGAGAGGGGGACGGGAGTGTCGAGGCCGTGTCTCGTACACCGCCATCCTCGCCCTCTTCAGACCCGGAGAAATAGGAAACTGCTCTTTTGTTGAATGTTTGGGTACCACTGGCTGGGGAGCCAGTGGTGGAACAAAACAAAAAAGAAACAAAAGATTCTCCACCCAGCCCTCCTCCTGGGGTAGGAGTGGTGCCTTCACCACCTCCTGAAGAGCAGGATCCAGCGTCTCCGGGTCGCCCGTCTCAGGGACGGCGCTTTACGGGCCTGGCAGGGGCAGAGACAGGCTGTGCCGCTTTCCTGCTGCCAGCTCCACGCTGCGGCCGGTGTGAAGGCTGCTGTTGAGGCCGAGCTGGAGCGGAGGTGGAGGCAGTAGGAGGGCGCCCTCGGCGACGAGCGGGTGGAGGGACTGCAGCCGGCGGCGGGGTGATGACAGCAGCAGGCTGCCGGGGCAGGATGTGTCTGATCGCCTCTATTACCTCTCTTGCTCTGTTGCACAATGATGCACAATAAGTTTCCAAACCATGGCCACTATGTGCAGAGACAAGTACTGCTGCTCAATATGGTGATTCAAAACAATGGCCATGCAGACCGGGACTAGTTGTCACATATGGAATTTGTCACAAAATTAAACTTTCTTATCTGAAACTTTTTTTCTAGCAGTGGTATTGTATGATGATTTCAAAGAGTTAGTTCAAAATCCACTAAAATTTGAATTTGTTTTGTGAATTTGTCCAAACCTAAATACATGAAAATCATAGTTTTGCTATAGCTGTTGGGTAAAAAAAAGTGAACACAATACAACCACATTAACATAACATCCATTCAGACCAGAATCAACTATAACGATTTAGATTTTAAAAACTAGAACGCTTTTTAGTTTTACGCTTTTTAAGTTAACGCGATTTTAATCAGTAAAACGCTTGTTTTGTTTACTGTGGAGACGTGCTGAAATCGCGTTTGGTCTCGTACTGTATCGCGTATTTTGTCAGTGTTGTGCACTTTGCTTGGCCATTTGTTGTGATAAACAGGAAAGTGTGTCCAGCTGAATTCATTGAGTTTTGTTAAAGGAATAAAAAAGTTTACCGCGGCTGCGGTCGTGTGAAGACCGAAGAGTGTAAAGACCATGGACTCTACCGTGCGAATCCACCGGGCAGGGACACCGGCAAAGGATAAGTATCGCTTTTTATTTCTCCTCTTTCCTACTACTTGTTTCACTTCTGTTTCAGTTTTTTATACCCATTTCTTACTATGTGTCAGTACGTTGTTGTTATTTTAGCATGTGTGTTTGGCTCAGTGTTTTGTTTTTTTTTTAGGATTACTGATAAACTAATGTAGTTTGATTTGTATTCGTTATCTATTTTAGTTTTAGTTACAGTTGTAGTAATGTTGTAATTTTATTAGTTTTTTATTATGTCTATATTATATATATATATATATGTATGTATATGTATGTATGTATGTATGTTGAGTTGGGGCAAGTTGTCACACTTTTATTATTCATGTTACTATAAATGAAATGAAATTACACCACTGTTTCAATCTGGCTCGAAAGCTAGCAGGCTGTTAATAATGGCAGTTTCCATTGTGATAAAATACCTCATGTAACAACTATGACCATCTAGTGCGTGTTGTCACAAAAGTCAACACGTGTTCACTGTACTGTGTATTTTACTTCTAACACCTGTGTAAATATTCAATAGCTTTTATATGGCCAAGGCTGTATATTCAACCTGAAATAAACATAACTCTTCAATATTCTTCATCACACCGTAAATCTCTAGCGCCATCTGTTGGTGTAATGTGTATTTCTCTGACCGGAGAAATCAGATTTTCATTTAGATTCAGATAAATAGCACAATTTCATTTGGCTTCGGGGTAGATATATAAGTTTTACAAATGTCTGTTTTTAATATTATTATTATTTCTAACAATGGCTCTGTGGTTTGCATACCGTCTAGTTTATCTATCCCAACTACACGTGTTGATCTTTATCGTTTGAAATTGCACTGCTGTAACACGTTGATTCTTATCTTGAACGTGACTACGACTGCCAGGCAATGATTGAGGATGAAAGGGCATTTGTTCATGTTTCATTTGCAGGAAAACATTCATTCTCTTTACAGTACAGTTGGCCTTATCCCCACCCTAAGGTGGTAAATCAGCCAAGGCTTATATAATGTGCCACATCGCCTCGCCCTCCTGCAGTGGGAGTTTTTCTTCTGGATTATATGACCATCTCTCAGTCCATATCCAGCTCCAGAGAGGTTAATCATCAAGTTGTTCAGTCAGTGGGCTCTCCTCTTCACCGTGTGGATGCTTCGGCCACCGCGGGTTTCTTCTTTTAACCTGTGACACGCAGAACGTGATGAAGAAGAGTGGGGAAGCTGACACTTTGTTTGGGTTTGCTATGGCCATGTATCATCAGCTCAAACCTTCAGAGGACCGCGTGTGAGAAACCTGTTGTTGTTGTTGTTTTGTTTGTTTTTTAAACAAGTTATAAATTGTTTAAAATTTATAATCAGGGCTGCGTTCTCTCCCCACTGCTCTTCTCCCTGTACACCAACGTTATATACCTGTACATACAACTGTCTATTGTTATATACCTGTACATACAACTGTCTATTGTTATATACCTGTACATACAACTGTCTATTGTTATATACCTGTACATACAACTGTCTATTGTTATATACCTGTACATACAACTGTCTATTGTTATATACATGTACATACAATTGTCGATTTGTATATTTTTATTCCTTATTTACTTGTTCTATTTTTAATTTATTTATTTTTATTTTTTATTATCTGTGTTTTTTGTTCTGTCACTGTCATTCTGTTACACTGTGGAAGCTTCTGTCACGAAAACAAATTCCTCGTATGTGTAAACATACCTGGCAATAAAGCTTATTCTGATTCTGATTCTGAATGTTTAAGACGGATACAAACTGTTGTGCACCTGTAGCAATACTGCATTGTTACATTAAGATTTTATATAAAATATCCAACAGTTCAAACCTTAACACTGTAACTGCATTACGTCATTAATAATAACGTAACTTATTAATATTGTTAAATATTAAATAATCATCTGCTACACAAAATATAATGGTGTTCTTTCTGTCTGTCTGATAATGAAATGACATTACTTGCATTTTCAGATTGCTGATTGGAGCCCCTCATGCTAAAGCATTGCCCAGTCAAAATGCCAATATATCTGGAGGTCTGTACAGATGCAAATTCACAACACAGTCTAATGATTGTGAACGCATTAAAGTTGATATAAAAGGTTGGTTGTGCTTTACTTATTGTTACTTTAGTGCATATTTCTCATTTTTTAACAGTCAGTTGAAGTGCTGAATATGGTAATGAGTAAATATTTTTTAATAATGCAAGAAGTTTAAGTATCTTAAAGAGCTTATTCTAATCTTAAAGAACATTCCACGAACAATCCTGGAAAAGATTATAGAGCAAACCAATGGCTGGGCGTTCGTGTCCGAAGTCAGGGACGAGGAGGCAAAGTAGTGGTAAAGAAATGTCTTGTGTTGTTCATTTCAACTGGTTCCAATTTAATTGTGAAAACACCATAAAACTCTATTTTTGTACATATAATAGCTTAAAGTTTTACTGACATTATGTGTAAAGTCTGTGTTCTGTTTTATCTAGACTTGTGCCCACAGGTACCAGGATTGGAGTTTTGACAACCGGCGTTTATTGGGCAGATGTTTTGTCCTGGAACAGGACCTTACCTTGGTGACGGATGGAGAGTCCACAAGAACAATTTGTAGGAATCGGGAACCAGATAAGCACAAGTTTGGCAACTGTCAACAAGGTGTCTCTGTAGCATTTTCCAAAGACAACAAATATCTTGTTTATGGAGCTCCAGGAGCATATGACTGGAAAGGTACTGCAAAACTTTATAGGCAGGAGGTATTTTATAGATTATGTAAGACTTTTATTTATTTGTAGTTTTTTTTAGAACTCGTCAATTTTAAGTATGAAATATTGAGCATTACAGTCTATCATTTATAATCTATTTTTAACACTTAAGGCATTGTGCACATGGAGCCTGTTGATAACTTCTCTATAGAGACCAATGAAATGGGAGATCATAATCAGCGTCAACACAAGTTTATTCCTGTGGACAGCAGCTTTTTAGGTGATTATGGTCAGCCTCTTGGACTACTGTGTACCAGTGGCTAACCTACAGTACAACTGTCTTGAATGTAGACCGATTCAAAATAGTATATTACTATAAATATAGATGCTTCATCTTGTGTGATGCAGTAGTTAGAAATGCATTAGAAAGCTTCAGCAAATACAAAATTACGAGGTATTTGATGTACCATGGAAACACACTGTAACTTTTAGAAGTTCCAAAAAAGACATTTATTAAAACTAAGCAGCAAAAAAATTACTCATTTTGAATGTACTGATGTGTATAAGTGGACCCCAGGGAAAAATTCAATGATAAAATATATGTGCTATGACACTTTTAAATCTGATATCATCTATTTGTCAACAGATTTTCTTTTGTTCTCTGGCAGGCTTTGTTGTCGATACTGGGATGAACCTAACGAAGAAAGGAGAGCTGAATGTCGTGGCCGGGGCTCCGCGCTCAAACCACAGTGGGAGGTTTTGCTTCTGAGAATGGAAGAAAAGGCAGAAACAAGGAACTTGAAAGCTGAGTACATCCTTCAAGGCCCAGGTTTGGCCTTCTCCTTTGGCTATGACCTCGCTGTTCTTGACTTAAACGCAGATGGGTGAGTCTTCGCTTAACCATTTACAATAATTTTTTTATATTTATATATATTTTTTATGAGTAATAAAGACACTTTTAGAACACAGTTGATTTTGTGTCAGTGAATTAATGTCTTCAATGCTTCAGATGGGATGATCTTGTTGTGGGTGCACCTGAGTTCTCCAAAAAAAGCATGGATGAAGATGTAGGAGGGGCTGTGTGCATTTACATCAACCAAGACAAAGGACAATGCTGGAACCAAATCAAACCAGTGTGTCTGTACGGGAAAAGGGACTCCATGTTTGGACTAGCAGTGGCACATATTGGGGATATCAATCAAGATGGATACCAAGGTTGAATAAAAGGTTATTTTTTACTTCAGTCTGAGGCCTTAGCCTTATATTGCATCTAACAGATGATCTTTTCTAATTAACAGATTTTGCAGTGACATTAACAGATTTCCTAATGAGGATGCAGGGAGTGGTCGAGTGTACATATATCATGGTTCAGCTGCAGAATTTCATAAAAAATCAGAGGTTTGTAAAAGGAATCACATATTTATAATGTTTATCTTTTATTTTAATTTTATTTTTTTCCATTAGATTCTGAGGTCATATTTTAAAAATATTATATTATATTATATTATATTATTACTCCCAGCATTAACCTTCTATGCCCTTTTGCATTTGAAACTTTTTTCAAAGTGACTCTCTGTTGAAACAGTCTCTGTTCATAGGTTTTAGATGCTGGACTCCCTGGTATCAAATCGTTTGGCTATTCTTTGGCTGGAAACATGGATATAGATGATAATGGCTATCCAGACCTTGCTGTGGGTTCCCTTTCAGATACTGTGCAAGTTTATAGGTTAGATGATTCCTACTTTCATAAAATCATAGATTCAATGTTGATCAGATGTTTTGCATTCATAAAATTCATATGAAGTGATATAATAACCAGACACACCCCACATAATAAAAATACTTTAAAGCTGGAGTCCGTATCTTTTTTTGTGTTCAAAATTTACTAAATTTATACAATAAGCGAGTACACCATGAATCCATTTTCCAAACCATGTTTTTGGCTTGTCATGAATCACTACGGTAAACCTATAATAAGTGTTTATATTCGGACTATTTTAGACTGGCTCGGGTAGGTACAGCTGCGGAGTAGCCCAGTACATGCGTGATTTGTCATAGATATAAACAGAGAAAAGTAGCTCCGGCTACAATGTTCTTCCGCAAGACGCACGCAGTTCTGTTTAATAACCGCTAGAGCGCCAAAAGTTACGGACTGCAGCTTTAATTAAATGTTTTTTTTTTTTTTTGTAGGATCTGAACATTTCATAATACTGAATTATTTATATTTTAATATAATTAATTAAATGTATAAAATTTCTTTTTTTAAGGACTAACCCAGTGGTAAACATAGAAAATACCTTAACATTAACACCGAATACCATTGATTTCAAGGCTCAGGACTGCAAGAGATATTCATGGTGAGATAACAGCAAAACATATCATCTATCTATCTATCTATCTAGATTATTTTGTTTTTAATTTTTAATGCATTTTGAAAAATCTTTTAGCCTTATTACAGCTCAGTCGTGCTTCACTCACACTGTCCAGACACCTACAGTGGTGTGAAAAAGTGTTGGCCCCCTTCCTGATTTCTTATTTTTTTGCATGTTTGTCACACTTTAATGTTTCAGATCATCAAACAAATTTTAATATTAG